ACCTGCTCCGCGCAGGCCGCCCTCCGGCCCGTGTTCAGGGACAGGCAGGGAGTTAGGCTGTAGGACTTTCTGTAGAAACGGAGCTCAGGTTTGTCCCTGTGCCCCGGCCTGAAGAATTTTTTTTACATTGAAGAGCGGCATTGAGGAGCTGCTTGAAGATGAGGTCAATCTGGAGTTGACCAAAGAAGCAGAGTTAACCTTTAAAGCAGATTAAACCCACAGAGCTGGGAAATAGCGATGGCTCAGCCCCCTTGCCATCCTGAGCCGTGACATTGGGGGCCAGGAATGTGTAATGCTGGGACTGCCCCCCCTGAAATGGGGGAATACCGGGGAAATGCCAAGCCGAACGAGAGAAGGACATTCCCGGCGTCTCTCTCTGCTCTATACAGGAGAGGAAAAGAGACGTTTGATAAATTCTTCCAGTTTTTGTCGATATAAGGGTGATTAGGTTGATAATCTCACCTGTAAACTATCCCGAAACTAAAGGAATAAAATGCATAAACAAAGCTGTGACCAAGAGTTCTCTTGGACAGGGGGCACTGGGAATGAACGCACCCTGCCCTCCCAGTCTGTTTTTGGAGATGGTTCCTTCAGGCACGGAGCGGTCACGCGTGGTTCACAGGGTGGCTGCTCCTCTGAGGAAATGGCACTGGTGTGGCAAGGGTGAGCAGCTGTCCCTGCAGCAGAGGAAGGGGAACTTTCCGCGTCCAAACGAGACGGATTCTCCTAAACGGAGCTCACCTGTGCCCCGGGTGATCCAGGATTTTGTTTCGAGGCCGCACCGAGGAATTGGTTTCTGACATGTACGAAACAGCGCCTTTCCAGGTGCCTGAGGAGGCCTTCAGGGTGTTTGACCCTTCTGGCATCTGTCTTTTAGGGGGGCACGGGGAGGCACTCGGCACCATACCTAGTGCCAGCATCCTCCCCTCTCCCCCTCTCTTCCTGTCTCCTCTTCCTCTCCCTGCTCTCTCTCCTCTCTGGCGGGCGGCTGTTGCCACCCAGCGGCCGCCGCTCGCCCCGGGCTCGGCCCCGGCAGCCCCGGGACCCCGCTTCGTCCTTCCCTGAGGGAGCTCGGAGCTCGCTCGCCTGATACCCGCCCGGGAAACTGCGGGGGCGAGGCGGTGCCCTCTCATCCGTCCTGTGTGAAATGGGGTTGGCTGTGGGTGGTTGAGTTCTCGAGGGTTAAGAGGGACAGAGATTGCAGGACGGCGAAAGAAATGAGTTCAGATAAGACTGATGATGCTCTGTGAAATCGTGGACTAAGGGCTGCACCTGACCAGGGTGAGTGTGTAACTCACAGCATGGTTTAATGATAGACCACAAGCTCATCTCATCTCCATGCATAGTGAAGTGCTTGCGATGAGCTGAGGGATGGCTTCTGATGGCAGAAATGCAGACAAGGGATCTGTCAACCAAGTAACATTATCACCTTCATATTCTTTCACCAAAAGAGAACAAAGAACAAGAGGTCTCTCAAAACTGAAAGTAACCTGACATTTCCATGTAGCCACTTCCATGGTTTAAATGGAACAAGTGATACAGGAAGTCAGAACTGCCAAAACCAACCTGGATGCTCCTTCAGTCTGTCACTGTGCTGGTGATTGAATCTAATGCAATTGGTCCTGCAGCTGAAAATGCATCAGAGAGAGATGTTGAGTAACACAGCAACCCCTCTCTAGGTGCACAACAAAGTCCTAGCATGATCAGTTTTAAAACCCAAAGAGTAAATCAGTGTGGGACAGATACAAAAGGTTCATATAAAATCAATGGGATTTTGTAAGGAGGAGTTGAAAATATCACTGATTTTACGGTATGTAAAGGTATTTTGCATGTTGAAATGCAAGTGAGGGCAGCTAAATGAACAGAGTGTACTGAGGACACAGTAAAATAAGAGTTTCATAATTTATAACTGATTCCTGATGGAAACAGGTACAGCAAAGTTTTATGAGATACCCTGTCTGAAAGGGATTTAGTGATGATGCTTTTTCCTCATCAGCTCCACATTCAGCACTTTGTTATGGGAATGATAGCTCCCAGCTTTTAAAAAAAGTTTAATAGGAAAATAGTGGTTATGGTTCACCAGAAAGCTTGCTAACACCAAACACAGCTGAGACTGTACCAAAAAATATAAAAAACACAAGGGAAAAATCCCAGGAAGTGTTTGCTTTAAGCAAGGGTATTCGCATTGAGTCACGGGAAACAAAAACTGTGCCTTGAAGAACGACAAACTGGGACTCTGTAAAAAAGCAAAACAAAATTATGCACACTTGAAGCCTTGTTCTTAACATTAAGCGTCAAAAGCATTGCATCTGACCTGTATGGCTCTAATTGAAGGGAGCGGCATCTTAAAAGCAATTATGCTACCTGAATGGGTGATAAACATCTATTACAGTGTCACGAGTTTGCATCACAGCACTGCTTTTCACCTTGCTTGTTTGTCTGAGCTCAGCAGGATAAAACTACAGTTAAGAAGACATCCAAAACCAAGGCAAAATGGTTTTGGAGGCAGATGGAAGAAATGGCAAGAGAAGCTCAGGATTTATTAAGGAACATGCAATCAGTGCATAAAGTCAGCTTAAGAAATCATGGGGCATTTAGGTAGCAGAATAAGATGCTGACTGCTCAAGATCTGATCCTGCAGGTCCTTCCACACACATTTACCTTTATGTGAGTTAGCCCACCAAAGTAAATCAGACTTAGAAGAATTAGCTGTATGAAGAATTGGAACTTGATTAGGAATACAAGCAGCAGCTCACCTGCAGAAAGCTCTTTTGACACTGAAGGGAGGTGAAAGCATTGCCATTCAGGCATCAGTCAGGTCTGGTAGCATGAGGGACAGATTATTTTCTTGAGATGGCTTTCTTATCCATGCTTGGGCAACTGACCAGACAGGATCCTGGAAAGCTTGCTCTTTCTTCAGTGGCCTCCCAGATGCCCCTTGCTACATCATTATTAACAAATGACGTAGAAAAGTTTATAATGTCTGGCAACTCCAAACTTCCCAACAACCTGAAAGCAGACACCTTTTCCCTGTACCTTTGTGTTAACATCAACAGGCTTTCAGCAGCAATCCTGGTTCCTGGTGACCTGCCACCCTTTCATTTTCTTGGCTCATGTGCAGGGAAGATAAGAGGGAAGCAAATGATTGTTTAAAGCCCTGCCTGAGCAGGCACAAAAACAAGCAGGATGTGTGTTTGCACTCACAGTGAGCAACAACATTGCCACATTTTATTCTGAAAATCTGCATGGGTTTTCTATTCTGGAAAAAAAAAATCAAAACCACCATCACCACCAACCAAAAAGCCCAACAACAGTAAACTAAATTTGAGTGACCTGAAAGAAGCATTTAGAGCAATACAGATAAATACACCTATGACATCAGAAGAGGTCCATTGCCTTATGGTGTTGTAGCACAGCTTAAATACTGGCTTTACTGAAAGAGTCCACCAAGATCATGCCCACAGGTGGGGAATTTGCACATATGCAAATCACCAAGCCGCTCCTCACACAGCCAATGGCTCTGTAAATGCTTTTTGGTGCCGTGTCCAGTGAGGTATTTGTTTGTCTGTGCCACCCACTATGGCCCTGCTTCCCTCAGTTCCAGGCATGCAGTGCTGCTCCCTCCCATGCCAGCGTTCATTTACTCTGCCTGCTTTTGTTCCTGCAAGAGCTTTCTAACTCACCCTGAGTAAAACTAACCACCAACCACATGACCTTTCATGTTTGTTTCTGTCCGTGAGACCACAGTACTCACGGATCTATGGTATCTCTGCCAAGCTGGATGAAATGTCTTGAAAGCCATATTCTTGTAGAGACTTGCATGGATGCACATAACTCTCTGCTATCAGGTGCCACCATTTATTGCTTAGACTCTCTCAGCTGGTTTGCTCAATGTGTGACCCAGCATTGCTGCCTAGGAAGCAGCTGATGTATAAAATGCTTTAAAAATCAGTTTTCTGCATGAAAAAAAGCATAGGAAAAGGTACTACCCATGAAGCCTGGATGCATATTTTCCTCATTCTTAACCAGGATGATGGCAGGCTAACCTGAACAAACTTCCTCACTTTTTCAGAGTGCATTCCTGAAATGGGAGATTGCCTTTCATCCTGCTGGTGTTGCAAATGCTGCAGGTGTGGAGTGGATCCTTTTTGGCTGGAAGCGCTTACAGAGCAGATAATGCTACTGTAAAACACTTAAAGCACGCCCAACCTGCAATTATGGTTTATTTCATGGGGTTTAATTGCGCTCATCAGGAAAGGCAGCTGGATGAGATACTTGGATAATATCCTTAGGGTCCAACATAGCAAACAGCTCCTGGCTTTCAGATGCCTTTTACTGTACTCATCCCTCAACCATCTTCACTTCTTGTCAGGATCCATAGGCCCCACAGTTTGGACTGGAAGGAGGCAAACAGCCCTGGATATCTCTTTCTTTGACATCTCTGGTGGCAGTACTCTTGCACTTCTCTATGTGGCAATAGGGTCTTGCCTTCACAAGAGCTGAGCTGTCTCGTCACCTTTCGCAAGACACCAACCTGCGCTTGTGACTGAGGCAGTGCCGCCCATGCCCTGTCTTTGTGCTCTGTGCAAAAGGATTGGACACCAGCCTCCCAGATGGAACTGCAGAGGAGCAAAGCAGGCGGGTTCTGCACGAAGGAATAAGCAATTGAAACAGTCTTCTAGACAAACAGGAACATCCATCTCTGATTCATAAACTTTTATTACACCTGTTAAAATTTCTTAAAGTAAAAAGGGGGGAAAACACTTTTTTGAGTAAATGCTTTGAAATAAAGACCAACACACTTAACAACTTTGAAGCACGTGTTAGCTTTGGAAAGGCTGTTCCCTTCAGCTGCAAGTAGCCTAATGTCATTAAAAATTTCATTTTAGACTTAACTTTATATACATTATTTAGAATTGCTATCTTTATACATTCAACACCTTTTTTTGGTCAAGGGAGTTGATTCTTGGTAGCATGACTGTGTTACCGTGTTAATCATTGTCATGGTTTGAGCCTGGCACAGAGCCAGTGCCCCCCATGAAAATGCCCTCACCCTGGTGTCTGCTGTGAGATGTGACCAGGAATAAGCAAAACAGGCTTTAGCTTAAACATAAAGAACACTTTATTACCTAAACTACAGGAAAATAGGGAAAGACCATAAGGAAAAGANAGTCCCAGCAGCAGCAACCGCAGCAGCAGCAGCAGGAGCAGAGAGACCTGGAGACAGGGATGCCCTGTCCTCGCTGGCAGGCCAGTCGTATCCCCTCTGAGAGAGTTTATAGTGGATGTACTTCAGCACTATCTCCCGGTTATCGTAGCCTCTTCTCCCCGGATGAGCCATAATTCCCACGAGGAAGCAGCAAGAGGAAGGGAGAGAGGAAGAAGAGGAGCAGGATGAACCCAAAAAAGTAAAGCAGCCAATAATAATAAAATTAATAACACCAAAAATTATAATCCAGTTATTGTATTGGACACGGTTTCATTCATGCTGGTGTGGGGGAGCTCTCGGGGTCTCGGAGGTACTTTTGTCTTCTCAGTGTTTCCTCCTTGGTTTGAGATGCACGGCATAAATAGGGATTAGAATGCTGTAAATACTTTAATTCCAGGTGCACATTTATTACTTATTATAAATTTACTTTAGGACCATTTCCTCCTCGGTGTTGAAATACATCTTAAAAAATATTATACCGACTCAAAATCAGGTGCATTTTCCCCTAGGTGCTGGACTACCACGGACACGAAGGAGCGGACGAACACACACTGTAAAAACTGCAATTCAACACAATTTGCTAAAGCAGCCTTGGATGGACGTTAATCCAATGCACTTTATGCTAGAAACCTCAACATTAGGTTTTGGGTTTTTTTGTTACACGAACTAAATTTCCTCTGTAAAGTACTTACTTGGACTATAAATATGTTCCTCTGTCAAGTTTCCTCTAAAAGAAAAATAGCAACAATAAAATCCAAACATCACAAGTCTTCAGAAGCGTGAAGTTCTGGTTGCTTTGATGCTTCAAGTCAACAAGGGGATGGGAAAGGGGCAAAAAAAAAAAAAATTCTACGACTTCAAATGTTTTTTCCCAGACTCCTGTTTAACAGACATCTCCAAAGATGTGTCAAAGCTCAGAAAATCCCGCCTCGCAGACCGGGAAGGCGAACAACCCCAAAGAGACGGAAAATCCTGGAGACCAGATGAACCACATTTGAATCCAAGCTCTCGCAGAAGTGCTCTGTTTTTCCCTCCAGTGCAACGTACAGACATATGCATTTACGTAGTTTCATTCAGACACCGATCGCAGGAACCCGGTGCTTCCACACACACGCACGCACACACCCAAAAAATTTAAAATTTAAAAAAAAAAATTGTATGCATTTAGGAAATTAATTCTTTCTCACAGGAAACAGCGCAAAAAATTAATTAAAAAACGAAAATAAAAATAAAGAAGGAAAATTGCTTTTGACTGCTGCCATTTCCCGAGCAGCTTTGTATCGGCGGAGGAAGAGCCCCTGGCGCTGCCGAAGAGGGGCGCGGACGGGGCGTGTGTGCGGTGTGACTGGTGCCG